ATTATATTTCTTTTTCTTTTTCTTTTTCTTTTTCTTTTTCTCTTACTATGTAACACTGTATTTACTTGCAATCTTTTTTCTCAAGGTGTGTGTATATATATATATAATGATAATAATAGTAATAAATTTCATTATATCCGTTATAGTTTGTTCTATTTCTTCCAATTAAGTAGATAAGAGTATAATAGTATACCTGCGCATAGGACTGGAAATAGCAAGAGGAGTCGGTACTCCAATAGCTTTAATCCGTTGTGTAGTTGGACTAGCACCCCCTTGGTTTTGACCTCTCTGAGAAGCTGTGGCAGGCGATCCGCTCGCTTCCGGTGACAGTGGATCGGGCGTGTGACTTCGTGAGCCATTCATTCCCCTATAGGTATCGACAACGTACCTTATGTGTATTAGAAAAATAATTAGCAAACGCGTTGACATTTGCTATCATGATTTTGTATTACCTTGGCCTTGGATGAGGGCTGCCCCTAGTGTATTGCATTGGATGACGGTGCTGTGACGGTGGAGGATGCCTGGGAGACTCGCTGTTCTCCACAGGCGGCAGGAAGAAATTGCTTTTAGAACCGTGTCTTTGCAGCGGAGGCGTAGGCTCGCAGTCCGCCGATTGAGATGCGGTGGGCTCCATGTCTGTGTCCGACCCATCCCGTCCGGGAGACAACTGAAACCAATAAGACACATGATTCCGTTTTTCCAATTATGAATAAACGTTTCGTTATTGAACTGTCATAGCACAATCGTATACAGAACGCATAATCACTTGGGGATACTGACTGATTTAACCAGGATAGGTAAGGGACAGGGGGATCGAACGGCGATTGCGTTTTTCCAACGTTGTAAATAGGCTATTACATATAGGAAGAATCGTTGCTTGATATCGTACTCTAAATAAACAAAGTTGAAATTAATGAACGAGTGCGTGAGAATTATAAAATCGTGCAATAAATACTTTCGAGGTGCAATAGAACTCGCAATTCACAATGTATAATTCTATGAAAGCTTTAAAGCATGGGTGGGGGTTGCATAGCACGGAGTTAAAAGTTTCTTTCAAAGCCGAGTGAATTGCATAGCCACACACTGCTGGTAAAAATGTACATCGAAGAAGCTTCGAGAGTTCATGCTAGAGAATATGTATTATTTACAGTTGTTAAGTCTTCTTGTACATAGTATCAGAAGTGTGAAGCGATGTTGCACTAGCTCTTACCTTATTGTAAGCATTTGAACTGGCATTTCTAACACCATTGCTGCTATCCATGTAGGTTTTTACCTGGTTCTCACTGCCTATAGTCGATATCTCAGATGTACAAGCTCCGCGTCGTTTTCCTAAATACTTTTCTGGCTTAAGTAAACTGAAACATTACGTGACAAATTGATTTCTTCATTTATCCCGTATACGGTTACAGATTAAAATTCTATTTATTTAATCACCTGGGGTATTGTGGTCCGAATTGCGTGTAGCAGCAATTGTGTAGGCAACCACGGGAAAAAGGATTGTAGCCTCCATTAAATTTACCCGTTACCTGTTCGTTTGTCGTGCGTCCTCTGGAAACAAGTATTACATGGAAACCAGTCAGTCCAAAGATTGGAATAAATAGGAGTATAACCACTCCCATAAGTGCAAATCTACGGTAAATTTAAGGATCATAAGATGTGTGTTGTATTCGACAAATCATCCGGCATTCGGGAAAAATATCATAGAAAAGGATACGCGACAAGCGTGTCTACTTCACCCAGCTGCTGTTTTTTCTCTAATACAAAATGCAGGCAAAGTCCAAATATACTGAGCATATGAAAACTAAGTGACAAAAGAAAGAAAAAAAAGAATCTGTAATTCCTCCTTCCGATGCAGTTGTTTAACCATGGACAATGATGATCGAACGTCTGAAACATTTAAGAATCAATATAGTGTTTGTTCAAAATTCATTTTAATATTCTTTACGAACCTCGATACACTGATTGCAAACACTGCAATGAGAACAACGAGGAGGTCTGTAGAACTTGCAGGTGAGGCACCATTTCATCCGGACTGTAATACCATTGATTTCTACATTTTTGTATAACGGTGCACTAAACTCATCTTCTTTATCTTCATCAGCAGATGCTTTAAAGAAAAATAACATACGTTAATTTATTGATCATTCTTAACAATGCCAGCCTCGCTTGTGAGATTCATTCTTTGTAAAAGGTATAATAGTGCAGCTGTAAATTTCAAACCTAACATTTCATTTTAGGGTCTTATTTTATGAACTCTTATTCTACTTGGTTTTTAAAATCTCATTAACAAGCAGATACTCGGTTATAAACGTCCAGAAAGAATGAATAAAACATGTCAGATGTACGAAAGGAGAATTAATCTGTTTCAATGAACTGTTTACTGTCTCAGTATCGAAAGAAACTGAATTGGACATTCCTTATAAGACTAAGCAAGGTCTACAGTTTCCTCTCTCCTTGATCTAATTCAATCCATGTATTCCATCGTGCTCGATAGGATCACTGTGGCGTGGAAGCTTACAACTGCACTATATCCTCTCGAGCCGAAATACCTTTCGGTATAACACCAGGGTCCATGAAGGTGGCTAGCGTAAAATTCGCCAACACAAGGAAGGTGATGACTCCTTGAAGGGCAGGTACCCATGTCCCCCATCGGAACACATAATACTGGCATCTGTAAAATTGAAAGGAAATTCACATGATGAGAGGCGAGCGTATCAACAGATTGCAGAGAAATCTGGAGAACGAAAACAGGATGGCAAACCGTTGCGGCCTCTCACGAGAGGAGGACAGACGTGGTCGAGGAACTTACGGGAAACAGAAGAATAATGTGGTGGTGCTGAGTAGAACTGTCCAGGCGCAAGTAGCTGGTAGAAACTTCGCCCTCACATCGCATATCGGCATTCTGCACGCTCCACTTTGTGGTCGACGATTAACGAATTATTAATGGGTGAGATTTCTGCTAGCAGAAAACATGGCCGCGTCCATCGGCGCTGCTTATTTGCGAGTCCCGCGATCCGTAGTTAGCACAGACTTCCATTCTCGCTTTGCCCGCACATCCGTGGCATCTTGATGATCGGTCTTCGTATATTAAACGCACGACACTTCGACAAAAACATCCGTAACGTGATTAATGTTTAAACGCTTCTGCACGTACGATCCGCGAACACACTACCTTGCTGACATACATATATATGTATACATAACGTGCACGTCTCTCTTTCTCTTTGCCCTCCCTCCTCCTCGCTCTTATTGTGTATAAGATGCCTGTATATAATTGTGCACGATGGCTAGCCGAGCACCCCCTCCAACACGGGCGTTCCGCAAAGCGATCCAACGAGACCGTGCGTCAGGCTTTCACGATTTTCTATCCTAGAAGCGCTCGATACGGCTTAATAGTTTCTGCCCGAAAATCGTTCTATGCGATACACGCGAAAGCCTCACGGATTTCTGGTTTTTCCGAACGCTCGCCTTACCAACCGAGATTTCGCTCGTTTTTCCCAACAAAACTACTTTACCGAGCATTCCTACCATTGGAAATCGAACTATTTAAATATTTCCCGCGTTTTCGCGAATATCGTAGACCACGGGTTTCGTGTCCTTAAAGACATTTAAATATCGTGCTTCCAATGGACAACCGACAATGTATGCTTTCTCTATTTTACGTAAAATCTTTGAAGGAAAATTGAAACGGAATTATTTAAACGATCGCACGGATGAAATACACAGATGATACGACGGACGTTGCAGGTGTGTCCTTTTAGAGGTTATTTTTTTACATGGATCTTGGAGAATCAATGAATTAATATTTATCTGATCGAGCGATATAGATAACGATCTTGTTTCTCGTCACTATTTTCTACCGAACAGTTTGCGAAATTCTGAACGATTACGTCTGATGGTATCAGGTCAAACGAGAATTTACATAACAGAGCTCGATGTACAGGCGTCATTCTGTTTCTGATCTACGAGACGACGACGACGACGTGGGTGGTAAAGCATCATTAACACCAAAGAATGCGTTTTGCCACAGCCGATGCATGAAATTAAGCACGTATTTAAACGGCGTGGATTCAATACCACGGAGTGTGGAACTCGGCCACGTGGGCTCGCGAATATCTGAAAATATTAAGCGTCAAAGAACGCTTTGTCGATAGGGAACGGTCTGTATCGATGAGATTCTTTCCTCAACTTCGCGCGACTCGTTAACTTGTTGGCCTCTTGCCATACTTCCTAATATAGTGCGCCTGCGACGCCCTTCCATGAAGATGATTTTACCCGCTATTACAACATTTCAATTAAATACACGCTTCTCGTTGCTGAATGATTCATTGAATGGATTCTATGATTTCTTTTTTAGATTTATATAACAACAGACAGTATCATTATCTTCAAGAATAATCTCGTGGTTGGTGTTAATTTAATATCATTGCTTAATGATGTATTTATTCTATTTTTAAATTCTTTCCATAATTAGTGAATGATTAAATGAATAGATTCTCTGATTTCTTTTCTAGATACCTCGTACGAACGCGATCCCATTTGTCCGTCCATTCAAAGTATCTACCAACAGATCATTATCTTCAAGAATAGTCTCACGTTTGGTATTAATTTAATATCATTGTTCAATGATATATTCTATTCTTCTTCGTTTCAATTGAATTCTATTTATTAGAGACATTACAAACTACGAACTAAAATTATCTCTGCTTATTCCTTAACACTAGATTTACTAACATTCACTGTAACTTATTTTTCTTAGAAAAATTGTTATTCGTTCATTTAGATCATAGAAATTACAGGTCTAAGAGTAAACAACTAGTATACATATTTGCATAACTGGGTTAATAAAAATCGACCCAAAACATTTGCCAAACAATGCTGATAAAATTCAATATAAATCAAACTGACTATTAAATCTAGCGTTAAAGAAACGTATCTCTCGAGGAGGTTAGGGTTCTAGCGGGGCATAACATAACGATGACGATGATAACAGCAATTATTCATGGAACAGAATGTCAACGAAGGGCGAAACTTCGAGAGCCGACATGGTCCAACGTGGGACAGCATCCGCATGCTTCTCTAACGAGTTGTCTTCTGACTCTTGCCAAGGGGACGCTGATTTTCAGCACTTGGCACCGAGACGTAATTGCCTTTGCACGGCCTGCTCGCCGTTGTCACTTCTTGCCGATGAAAAGGTGGGGACACAGGAGTCTGAGGGAGAGAGAGGGGGGGTGGATCGCGACGGTGGAACATCCACCAAACAACGATGACCACAGCGATGATGAGGAGGATGCGTTGGCACCGAAAATATTTCTAACGAGACAAATTCACTTACAACGTATCCGTTGGCCGTGCTTCACACGCGCCACGGTACCGTTGCGGAACGAGGATCGCCTGAATGAAAATGGAACGGCCACAGACACACTTCAGGATCTTGACACCCAGAACGAAAATCTTCGCATGAACTCGCTCGCGAATGATTGATTGCCCCGGCATTATTTATAGACCGGGCGCGATGGTCGAGAGGGATTTACGGTGAAGATGATAATAACAACGTGTAGTAAACATGTAGAATTAACCATCGAATCGTTAGATTGTCTGGCGGCCGTGTCACGGATGCAGGCTTCATTCAACAGATCCGAAACAATAACCTCGTCGTTCTGGACAATTTTCCTCGGCGCTTTACTTTGTCTTCGTAGAAGCTATCGGCGTGTATTATTAACCTTTTGCACTCGGAAGCTTCTTGCTAGAAATATTTCACATTGCTTGAGGCGAAGACGATATTCTTTGAAACTAATTCAGGGAAGTCACTAGTGCATTGAACAGAGCTACTTTATTCCAATCTTTCACGTATAGAGACACTGTACAAAGTTCATCAGATATCAAATTTTATAGTCTTACTGTGTCAAATTAAATGGTGAGTCACCTATCGAGTGCAAAGGGTTAATGTACATTGACAGCTTCTACAAAGATACTTGTAACGACAAACATTGTCCAGAAATATGAGGCTATTGTTTCGTGATTAAATTAACACTAGAACTAGCAGCTGTCAATTGGAATCTTAACCCTTTGCACTTGGAAGTTGTTCACTAGAGATCTTCAACGTTCTCTGATGAGACATAGACAATATTTCTGAAAATTACTGAGGAATAACGCATGAACTGAGAAGATATTTTATTCAATATTTAATTGGTGCATTATGCAAAACTTAACGTTAAACATCCAACTTAACTTTATATCAAATGAAACTGTGACTACACCTCTCGAGTACAAAGGGTCAAGATTCCAATTGACTCTAGCTAATTCTAGTGTTAATTTAATCAGACGTGTTATGAGGTTATTGATATACAAATACAAAGTCAACAGTCAACAGCTTCGCCTCTCGTCCGCTGTTCAAAGAATTCTATGGCAATATTTTGGTTTCTATCAGATCAAAGCGGACATGGGATTAGGAGACATTTATTCAACCAGAATATATTAATTCACGAAAGCTGATGTAATCATTGAAACTGTACTGTCGAGGGTTAACATTGCAAACGATTTTCGTTGCCTGTTGTATTTAAAAATATCGGTACCTATAATTCACGCGGGATAGATAAAGGCACTCGAAAGACAAAAGCTTTCCGAAAAAAGTGATAATAATATCTCACGGCAGTCGGCGAAATAAATAGCTCTTATCCATCTGACGCGCTGTCGCGGCTAATTGATGTGTAGGTGACGCGGCACTGGCATTCTTGGAATGTTCATCAAATGAGAGACAATTGAGCCACTCATTAGCCAAATCGGTGAATTAAATTCGAAACGAGAACTAGGGAAGAATGATGCAACGGTACTCCTGAATTTTCCGTGTTTCTCTATAAACTGAGAATCAATGACATTATAGAATGTATTTTACTCTATTGTTACAGATGCTTTATATACATATAAGGAATTAACAAGTTGTTTGATACATCAGACACCAAGTGTGGATCTTCTAGATTACTTCTAGATCACTTCAAAACGATTGCAATCAGAAAATCGACGTCGAATCAAATTCACTAAGTGACTAGACAACGTAACGTAATATCAAATCACTAATAATCATTTTCAATGCCTAATAATTTAGAAATAAACTATTTTTAACAATTATTCTCAATTTTATTGAAATTCTCACGGCAGACCGAGCAGTCAGATGAAATTTTCCACAATGAAAACACTGGAGAACCGATTTAACCGATCGGAGGCTGAACTGTGGTCGATTCGCGGCCGCGGGAAACGCTCGGCCTATTTTCCCGCTGTCTGGAAAAGCGCGTGATGAATCGTTCGGAAAGAGATCGAGGACTCGTTATATTTTTACCGGCCAGGTAGAACGCGCGTCCTATGTAACAGCTCGCGACCGGTGGGCGAGCGAGCGGGCGGGCGGATCCAAGAACGGCGTCGCGGCCGAAAATTGCGCGTAGATCCGCGTTGTTATCGCGCAACAATTTATAACCATTTGCGTCGCGGACGGATGGATTTACTCCAGCGCGTTGGACAGTTGGATCGACATTCTGACAGGAGAAAAAGTTGAAATTTAACCCTTAGCAGTCTTATGTCGAGTCAGGCTCGACATTCTATTTTATTGCAACCTGTATCTGTTTTAACAATTTTTTCTATATTTATTTGTAGTGTCGCTATTGTACCATTTCAAGGTAACATTCCAATGACTCCCGAATATTCTTGAATAAATAAATAGAGCGTCATGTTAAGCTGTCTAACTAAGTCTAACTACTTTATTACAAGGTTTATTGAAAGATGAAAGTTGTAAGTACGTTTTGTGTTAAGGTTTACTATACAGTAAAATCGTTGATAACAGAGGAGTAATATGCAATTTGCCTTGAAACAAATTGAATAATATTTATGTTTGTTAGATTCTGTTTGAAATATTCACCTCGAGTGAGATAATATTGTAGGGCAAGGGTTAACTTCGTTTATTCGTTCACTCATTTACTAGCACTTCATTCAATAACAGTCGCTGTGATTAGAATATTTTACTGAATAGAATATGTCGTCTTTATAGGATACAAAGAATATTTAAGGAAGAATATCTTTACAATCTACTGTACATTATACCATGCGTTGCAAGGCTAGATGAGGACACGTAAATGTAACTGTTCTTTGCACAAGATACGATGTCGATCGTCACAACTATGCGACGCTGGTAGCGAGCGAACACGTTCCGTGCCACGGAAATTTCTGTTGTATTTCGCTTAGGAACTGTGTTGATTTTTCAATGAAATATTAAATTATACTCAAGATTTCAGTGAATTAATATACTCTAAATTATAAAGTAATTTTTATACATTTTGATATTGTCTCTTCATGTTTTCGGTGCTTTGTACCGCTATTCTCGACAATGTGTCCCTTAAAAATATTTTCTTACAAAAATTGACGTACCATATGTGGTACACGTGGCACTGAACGTGTTGACGTTCATATTAAAACACAGGGTAGACCAAGGTGAATCGGAAATAAGAATCCAGTTGATATTCGTTACATCATAAGTCATATCTCTCATTTCTTGCTTCCTATTTGCGTAATGGGTTTTTATTTCTTTAACCAATTAGCTAAGGCGGTAATATAGAAGCTACATCGTAAATGTAATACAATTTGAGGCTGATAGAATTTCCAGTGCAATTACGTTAGACTATAATGGTATCGATGACAGAGAATTATATAGTTGCGTACTCAAAAGATACACAAAACTAGTGTCGTGCAGTAGCTAAAAAGTTAAGTAATTGATCTGTAAATTGCTAGAGAGAACTCTATCTAATCCTTAGTCTACACTAATTAACACGTCCATTACCACATACTTGACATAATTCTATAGTTTACACAATGCGTATTAAATGAATCATATAGATGTTACTATTAGAAATTACAAACTACATTATATTTAAGAATTCAATGATTCAATTTTATTCTTCTATTTTGTTTAGATTTACTGGATCGAAGAGAATATTAAGGAGACCGTCACCGAAACAAGCACCGATAGCGAACGTGTTAAACAGATGAAGAAGAAAGGTTTCCGATCCGATTGATGTCCGTTTATCGTCGGATCAGCGGTCCGACTTACTGTGCATCAGCTCGATTAACCCTTTGCACTCCAAGGGTGCCTCTCAGTCACTCGATTGCTGCATCGAAATTGTAAAATTTCGTATTTGACATTTGAAATATTAACACTAGATTTACGGTTATTTATTGTACAGTTTATTCTATTGTTCCTGGGGAAGTTGATATTCATTCACTTAGATTTTGGAAATTGCAGATGTAGAAATAGACAATCAGGATTCGTATTCGTGTATTTGGATCAACGGAAACCGATTGAAACATTTACCAAATAATGTTTACAAAATTCAATCTGCGTCAGATTGACGCGTTCCGTAAACCTGGCGTTAAAGAAACGTCATCTGTATCTCGTAAAGATAGACTGAATATTTCTAGCGACAAATTTGTCGAGTGCAAAGGGTTAATCGCGAGTCCCGGATCCCCCGAATGGATGCTCGGCGAGTTCCCGTTGAGCGGAGCTGCCTGCCAAGACATATAAGCCGGGGCCAGTTTTTCGATCGTAACGGAACTCATGAATGAACGCGATTTATATCTAATCGCATCCTCGCCGCTTGATTCACGCCTAATATTAACACGGTTCTCGCGGAATTGAGAGATCTCCCGCGGCACCGCTTCTAATTCTGATTCCGCGGGAGATGCTACGCTAGATTCTCCGGCGTAAATTTAAAACGGCTCTTATACGCCGCGCCGACAATGTAATCCGCTGCACTTTGTCGGATTTAATACACACCGAGAGGGGCTGCCCGCCTGCGAATCGATTTCGAGGCGCGAGGTTTTTTAATAGCTCAACACTTGCTCCATATATTCCGGATGAAAATAATGTAGCGAACCGAGTGAACCGAGCGAGCGAGCGAGCGAGCGACTGACCGAGTGTGCGAAGAGGTTTCGGGATACGGATGGTTATTAATTAAACAGGAACGCCGCTGTCTTACTCATTAGCGGGCTGCGGATGCTCGTGCTGACTTACTGTTTCACAGACTAATTTATGGAAAGGAAAGCGAACCGTTTGCGATGGAGCTGACTTTCAGTCGTTGTTTGTTATAGCGAGATTGTCGAGTTTAATATTAACTGTGAAATAGTTGATGTAGTATTAATAGTTTTGGAATGAAGTTTATTTATCAATTGGGGAACGCAACTATTTCATTCTGATAAAATAGCTTACTAGAAGTTTAAGCGGAGACTTAGAAGTTTAATAGTTACTTGGATAGTTAGTTTAATAGTTACTTTGATAGTTACTTAGAAGTTTAGAAGCTTAATAGTAGACTCAGTTTAATAGTTACATAGATAGATAGTTTAATAGTTACTTTGATAGTTACTTAGAAGTTTAGAAGCTTAATAGTAGACTCAGTTTAATAGAATAAAATAGTTCACTTATCAATTGGGGAACGAAACTATTTTATCCTGATAAAATAGCTTACTAGAAGTTTAATGGGACACTTAGAAGTTTAATAGTTACATAGATAGTTTAATAGTTACTTTAATAGTTACTTAGAAATTCAGAAGCTTAATAGTAGACTCAGTTTAATAGAATAAAATAGTTCACTTACCAATCGAGGAACGAAACTATTTCATTCTAATACTTCTAATACAAGATACAGACGACGTTGTTTAAAAATAGCTACTTTACTCAATTGGAGAACAAAACCATCAATCTCCAAAAAGCGTCATCTCTATCCCATAAAAAGATATTAAACATCCCCACTGAAAAACTTCCGAATGAACTCCGATCTCATTCCACCAGAGATTCTCGTGCCCTTGTAACGCTCTGAATTTACATTTGCATCTCCGAATTCCGTAGCTCCGAAGTTACAAAACGCGTCTAATTGTAAACATTCGTGACGCATAAGCGCGTCAAACATTCTACCGATTCCTTCGGCAGCATAGTCCTCAGGGTCCAATAATATCGCGATCCAGGCGGCAGCAAGGGTTGCAAATGGTCAGCGAAGAGGTCTCGATACGATCCCACGCGAGATGATTTACCGGCGGCCTTCCGACTCCGCGGAGGACCCACTTATAACATATTTCATTTTTCGTCGGGCCGCTCTATTTTTGCGACCACCGGTTTTCTAGCTGGTTTACCAGACGCGGACGATGTCTTTATACCGGGACGGAAACGCCACGGCACCTCAGGTGTCCATCGTCCGTCGTGCGAGGAAACTACCGCCATGGTAAGCCTAGCGAGCCATCCGATCGCCGCTTCACGATTATCGCGAGCGACTCGTAAAACATCATCGGGAGAGATCGCTGAATTTGCAATCGACGCGTCGCGTGCCGGCCTTCCAGTGTAGCCACGTTTGTGTCGGATAGGATTAACCCTTTGCACTCGAGAATATTTTTCTCAGTAAATATTCATTATCTTCTGATGAAATGATATTTTTTGCAATTAACATAAAGGAATACCTTAAATCAAGTGACAGAACTATTTTATTTCATGTGTTCGTATATTGTATAAATTTTAATTTTCTCAGTAAATATTCATTATCTTTCGATGAAAGGTCAATGATATTTTTTGCAATTAACATAAAGAAATACCTTAAATCAAGTGGCAGAACTATTTTATTTCGATGTTCCATGTGTTCGTACATAAAATTTAATATTGAATTTTCAATTTTACAATTTTCTTGGGTCAAGCCAAATGACTGAAAGGCGCCTCTCGAGTGCAAAGGGTTAACTCGTTGCCGCGAACGATAATTATAGCCGATTTTTTCTATAGGCAAATTGCGGCTGTAGCCGTTCTGCGTACTTTCATTGACACTTTGACTGGTAACCGATCACCGGAGCTTTGAAGTTATGAGAAAATAATTACGAGTTGGAAGATGATTGATGTCGAATATGAATTTTTTAGTAACGCGAATAACTAGATAATTGGGTAATAATAGAATCTTCGTGTTAAAGAATGAATTGCAATGCATCTTTGTTACAGAAATAAGTGAAGAAAAGTAGCAACAGTTATTCACTATTTGTGCAATTTTTGCATTGCATTATTATCAAGTTAGTTACGTTATTAAACATTTTGATTCCACATCGATTGTCTTACAATCGTTTCCGAGTAATTCAGAAGTCCTCGACTATATGGCAATTCGACGCGTTAAATTCATTCGTTTATTCTTCGGTGATACATTGAAGAGAAATGACGTAACAGTAGACTACCTATTAAATTAACTATCTATGTAACTATTAAACTTCTAGACACCGTGTAAGTTGATTTCGTGTACGGTTTTCCATGACCTGGACACTCGGAAGAGACGATTAAAAGAGAAGCTGCGTTTCCGGGCAGGATGTTAAAGCTAAAAGTGTACGGCGATGGGTTAAACAAGTTAGATAACGTTCACACGGTTTTATGTAACGAGGGAAAGAGATAGTGTCTCGAGTGCGTGCTGCATAATCGACGTCGTGCTCGTCGTTCAAAGAGAAAAAGATGTCTCCGTCGAGTGAGTGTAGTTCACGTTAACAGCAGGTTTATAAACATTTGTTCCATTGTTCCTAGAGAGGTTGACGTTCGTTCGTCTAGATCTTCGGCGTTAGAGGTTTGGAAATGGCCGATTAACTTTGACTGCCAAGTATACACTCGTCGAAACTCCTGCGCGATCGAAGCAATTTTCTTAATAGCGCTGAAACTAAGGAGTCAATATTCTTCGTCGCGACCAGTGTCTCCTGTGCGCGGAGAATTGATCATCATCATTTTCAGGAGGAAGACGAGCAAAAGATGGCCGTGATGCGGAAGGCGTTCCAGATGTTCGACACGACGAAGAGCGGCTTCATCGACACGCTGAAGATCTCGACGATCCTGAACACCATGGGCCAGCTGTTCGACGACAGCGAGCTGAACGCGCTGATCCAGGAGAACGACCCCGAGGGCACCGGCAAGGTCAACTTCGACGTGTTCTGCAGGATCGCCGGCCGATTCCTGGAGGAGGAGGACGCGGAGGCCATGCAGGAGGAGCTGAAGGAGGCTTTCCGCTTGTACGACCGCGAAGGAAACGGATACATCACGACGGCCACTCTCAAGGAGATCCTCGCCGCTCTAGACGACAAATTGACCAGCGCTGACCTGGACGGTATAATCGCTGAAATTGACACGGACGGATCGGGCACGGTCGACTTCGACGGTGCGTACGCTTGCGTCTTCTTATGGATCGTTTTTTTGAAACTGCTTGGAACTGCTTGGAATTGTTGGGGTTTTCTTATCTCTGGATCGGTGGAAAGTGTTTTTAACCCTTTGCGGACGAATGTCGACATTTCGAGATGAAATTTTCATATTTGGAGGACTAAGTAGTAAACAGATGATTTAATTACTCGGACAAGAGATCAGCAATTTCCTATTTTTCCATTAAGTAACTGATGTATAATTTAGCTTCATCTGTTGAGGATTTTGTATATTGAAATTTTCATATTTGGAGGACTAAGTCGTAAACAGATGATTTAATTACTCGAACAGCAAGAGATCAGCAGTTTCCTATTTTTCCATTAAGTAACTGATGTATAATTTAGCTTCATCTGTTGAGGATTTTGTATATTGAAATTTTCATATTTGGAGGACTAAGGACATTATATAGATCTTCTTTCCTTTTCACGAGAGCCTCAGTGTCATCTTCCCAGCATTTCTGCGAAACGAAACATTTAGAATTAAATAATCTAATTAAAGAATTAGAGTATGAAAGAAAGTTATGGGGCAGCCTAATATATTTTGGGGATTACAGAGGTAGAGATAGAGGATTGGGATATATGTTCGTAAGTGTTTCAATCATAATTTGGCAAATCGAATCACGCTAAATAATCCATGAACCTAGTGTTGAATTCTTGGCTCGGGTTCGGTCAGTTTTGAAGCATGAAGGTGGCAACTGTTTGTAATTAGTGCGGGATAGATGTGGACTCTAGAATTTAGAGAGGAATTATGTTTGTTATTGATACGTTGAATAGGTGTTTGGGTTGATGATAATTGAAGTGCACTGGTAATTGTAATTGCTTTGAGATTTTTTATTCAGAAGTTTTTTTGTTTGCTGAATAGACAATTGAATGTGCTAAGAACAGTTGTCACGCTTTGTAAATCGGTGGTTGAGTGTTTTCATAGTATTTACAAGATATTCTGCCTTTTTTTATAGAGTTTATGGAGATGATGACTGGAGAATGATGAGGCTGCTGACATGAGTACACAGGAGGACACAGTTCAAAGGTTGTTTTAATATTTCTCACCGACACCATGGCGAAATTTGTTTAATAAAACAGTTACTTAATGCTTTGACTTCTAATCGTCGAGACCCTCCCCGGACCGCTGCGGCGTCAGCTAATTGAAATTCGCGCGAATGCATTTTATAATGTTTAACTGCACTATCCTAGAATCTAAGGTATGTTTAGTTGTTTCCCTCGGGGTCTGTCGACCTTGGCACCCTTTTTGCCTCTGAGAAACGGCTCCGATCAGAAGTATTATTAAGCTAAACGGTGCGACTTCACCTGTTAGTTTGTTAATTTACAATTGTCCTAACGAGAATTTATGTAGTCGGGAACGCTCGAATGTACAGTTAGTCAACGAAACGGTGTGCGCAATAAAATTGTATAACGGTATATATTATATAACGTGTACCAAGGGGATGAACGAATGAGAGTGAGTATAGCGTGTTCTAGAACAGGATAACCACTAAGAATAAATCGTTGTAATAAACATTTGCTCATCAAGGCAATTTATTCGTTATAAATGCTACATCAATAAACCGTTTTTTTTGTTGTTTTGCCTGCGTTAACGTTACATTGTACCCGCGCGCCGAGCCTGCGGTGCAGTTCGGCCGTGGGAGTTTATTCAATGATCTCGTTGGAGGGCACTCCCTCGTGGTAGACGAGGACGTCCTTGACGAAGATGTTGGGGACGCTGAGAGCGCCAGCGGTCAGGGGTCTGTCCAAGGGGAAACCGAGGGGCTTGCCGTCGAGGGAGATGGCGCCTCCGATGATGTCGGAGATCGGCTGGTTCTGGAAGTGATCGCTGACGGACTTGTCCTGAACAGTCTGGGGCTGAGCGTAGATGCCCTGGAAACCACCGGCGTGGAGCTGGCCGCTGGCGACGTTGTGTCCCAGCCAAGGTCCTTGAACTCCGTGCATGCCGATGATCTCTTGTTGTCCAATCTGTTGCTGGCCAGCCTGGATCGTTGGGTAGATGCCTGGGATCTGGATACCTTGGAGACCCTGCTGACCTCCCTGCTGAACACCCTGTTGTACGCTCTGAATACTTGGGGCACCTTGCTGTACACCTTGAAGACCCTGGAGACCCTGCTGTACGCCTTGGAGACCTTGTTGCACGCCTTGCAGACCCTGGACGCCCTGTTGCACACCCTGGAGACCGGGGACACCCTGCTGTACACCCTGCACATCCTGCTGTACACCCTGCAGTACACCCTGGAGTCTCTGTTGCACTCCCTGCTGAACAGATTGCAGTCCTTGTTGCACGCCCTTTCGGACACCTTGCAGTCCTTGTACAACCTGCTGTACACCCTGCTGAACACCCTGTTGAACGCCCTGTGGAACACTCTGCTGTCCCTGGAGTCCTTGCAGAGGCTGTTGGATGCCTTGTTGGTCGACCTGTTGTTGCCAGTTAATGGCAAGTCCTGGCTGGATCTGTCCTTGGATCGGTTGGAGAAGCGGGTGCGAGTCTTGGATTGGTATTTGCTGTTGGCTCTGGATGCCTTGTTGCGCTAATTGTTGGTATCCCCATGGTCTGCCAATTTGACGATGGATGTGTCTCGCGCCAGCGCCCTGGCCGACCGGACTCTGAATCTGAGTGTTCGGGTATTGTCCGTGGTATTTGGTGAAGACGTTAGCTTTAAGGTTCCTCACGGCTGTCGAGAAGAAACGAAAGATGTGGTCAGTGAGACTGAACGACAGGTGGTGGTCGAGAGCAAGATTGACTGACTACCTGGGATTTGTTGCTGGGCAGCGGACCAGTTCTCGGGCAGTACTTCCACGTTCTGTTGGATGCCGGGTACGTTGGGCAGTTGGCTTTGCTGTTGCTGCAGTTGCTGGTATTGTTCAGGGTTGACGATCTGGTATTGCTGTTCCTGGTAGGTCAGACTCTGCTGAGGGATCACTGGGCCGCAGGGGACGTTCAATGGACCTGGAGCCGAGATCACGGCGAGCAACTGGAGTGGGAAGCCTTGAGGTTGTCCCTTAGGGATAGACAGTCTAGCGGGGAAGCTGAAGATCTGGTGTGGCTGTAAGTACAATGATTTTTTATTACTCTGATCGTGTTTGTGAGAACTATATTTATATGATTCCCTAACCTCGGTGATGTAGAACGGTTCCTGGGAGCTGATAGCGCCGTTGACACCCTGTTGGATGCTCTGAACTGATGGCCAGTCGTGACTTAAACCTGGAGCCTGTTGGGAGTTCCTGATAATCACGTTCTGGCCTTGGAGGACTGCAAATCAGAAGTGCGTTAAAGAAACACCGTTCAAACAGGCTGCGAATTTGAGTAACATACTGGAACTTACGGTTGTGAATGAATTGGTCAAGTTGTACGAAGAGCTGCTTGCTCTCGGAGATGCTGATCGGGTTGCCCTGGTAGTCGTATTTTGGTCCAAGGAATACACGTACGACTGCGTTGGGGACAGGTTGTTCGCTGTGAACAGTGATCTGGTACTGGTATGGTTTATGGTCCAATCTCTTCAGATGGGCCAGAATCTTCTGTTGCACCTGCTGCTGCTGCTGTTGCTGCTGTTGTTGCTGCTGCTGTTGCTGTTGTTGTTGCTGTTGTTGCGGTTGCTGCCACTGTTGTTGTTGTTGTTGTTGTTGTTGTTGTTGTTGTTGCTGTTGTTTGCCAACTTGAGGAACTACAGACTGGAGGTCAATGTAGAAGTCGTTGAAGAGGGTGACAAGCTGACTGATGTCAACATTCTGGATGGTAACACCAGGGAGGACGAGGTCGTTCCATTGGTAAGCTGGGAGAGACTGTTGGTATTGCTTGTAGAGGTTCATGATTTTCTTGAACAGCTGGTAGAAGGCAGGGTCGTGAACAGCGGTTTGGCCAAGTTCGAGAGCTGATGGTGTGTAGTCCCAGATGTTCTGTACTTCAGGGGCATTTCCAAGCAGTTTGCGGGCAGCAGCTTGGAGGCTTCCGTAGTATCTATTTGGAATTAAGAAGTAAGTATTAGCACACTGGTCAAATTCAATGTATTAAACTACGAAAGAGGAAAAGCTAACCTTGGGTTAATGCTCTTGCCAGTTCCTTCGATCAAGTCACCAAGAATGTTAACACCCTGTGGCTGGTAGAGAGAGAGGAAGATGCCCTGAGGAGTGATCACATGGCCGGAGTCGATAGCTTCCATCAATCTTTGTTGCAAAATGTTGACATGCTGAATCAATTGGCTCTTCAATTTTTGGAATTGGAGATTCTCTGGGCGGCTTGGGAATTCAAGACCATTCAGATTACGAAGGTGTGGTTGGTACAGAGCTTGAATGCTGTTGAAGTCAGTCTCCTGAATGGGGCCAAGTCCGTTGGAAAGACGGTTAAGTTCGTAATGAGCCAAAAGTTGTTGGTGGAGGTGCAAGTATTTAGCTCCATGACCGACGACGCTCTGTTGGCTTGGTCCAACTTGCAAGTATTTGCCTACAATCTGTTGCTGGTACTGTTGTTGAGTCAAGGGCTGTTGCTGTTGCTGTTGCTGCTGCTGTTGTTGTTGCTGTTGCTGTTGTTGTGGACCTTGCTGCTCAGAAGACAAATAACGGTTTTATTAATACAAAGGTATGTAACGTGTACCATAGGCAAAGATTTAATGTTTTTCAATTCTTTACTTCTCCCAAGATGTATCCAGCAAGGTCGAGGTAAGCATAGTAAGATGCGAGACCGACGTCCTGAGTGAAATAGGAAAGCTGTTGTTCTTCGTGAGACAGAAGGGCAGAGTAGTTCACTGGAATCAGAATGTTCTGGATGCCTTGTTGCTGAGGTCCTTGAATACCGATATCTTGAGCTTCCTTGATAATTCTGGCATCCAAATGGTTTTGAGGTAAGATTTCATAAGCTGGGGGGAGTATGATACCCTGAGTGTCTGGACGCGACAAAATAGCACCAACCAAAGCCTATTGAAAACAAGAAATATTTAATAGAATATAATTTTCAAGATGCTAATGTATTTTGTAAGTTTTAAACCAGTTTTATGATGTTTGTATAGATCTAGTACTAAAATCTTCTTTGACTAGTTCTTTTACCTTAACATACTGTCCTTCATTGACATGTACACGAGCCCAGGCAGCAGTCTTCAAGAAAGTTTGGTAGTCCTTGGCACCCATCAAGATTCTGTGAAGAAGGGATACTTCTTTGCGCAGCTCACTGATGGAATTGCTGTAGACAGTGCCCTTTGGTTGAACCAAACCAGCTTGAACAGCGGCAGCATAATATTTCACAATGATGGGGTTGTCATATTGGAGAGCGTTGCTTGCAATGTCATAATTCACGCCAAGTTGTTGAAGTTGTTGGTTTGGAATCTCCTGACCGATCGACTGCAGGAGTTGGATGACATCCTGCTGCTTGTTGAGGAGCTCCTGATCAGCTGGAAAGATCAGACAGTTTCTATTATGCACCAAGAATTACAGCCAACATGATACAGTTAAGGTCTTATTAAGTCTCTTTGACTCCAGTAAATTTGAGTCAATTAATATAGAGCATAAACAACAGGAACAAGCTGCACAGTCTTTACAATTGAAACTTAAATGATTAACTGCTAAATAGTACCATGATCTTTGATATTTTCCTTCATTTAAATCTCATAATCCTTTTACAGAACATGTCCATTAGGAAAGCATAAAGACAAGTATTGAATGGTACATTCAGAATATTTCAATCTCAAATCATCAAATGCTGAAGACTATATCCACTAATATGATTCTTATTTTCGGTAAAGAAATTAAACAATTTAATGCATGAATCAAATGTTCAAAGCTACGAACAACGTGAGTATATGTTTTAAAAGTTGAACTTACCGGCTCTTTTACCGCTGCTGCAGGCCCCCAAAGCAGCGAAAGCCAACAGGACAACTAAGCACCTCATTGTGAATGCAACGATGGGATGCGATGCTGACTGCTTGTTCATTCAGGCTTTTATACTCAAATCCTATCGAGGAAGGCGGTTATCGGCGACCTGCCGACCCACCTCCCTCAAGATTTCGCAGTCTACCCGCGATATCCTTTGCTATTTCGAATGTATTCGACGCACCGAATCGAAGGTTAACCGATGATACGTATCATCGCTACTTGATCCTGCTTTACAAGGATATTGCAACGAAAATTCGGTAATCATTGTTCTAATTGTTTTGGTAAGTTCTATACATTGCATCAGGTAACTTTTGGTCATCTATTCGCTTTGGGTCTATTGTACATTTAACTTGCTCCTGTAAGTTTTCCGACTTAATTTCTTCTTTTACTAAATAAAAACCTCTGATTAGAATATTGTTATCTTAGTAATGTGATTATACCTATTAACTAATTATTTTGTAAACATTATATATATATATATCTCCTTCGTTATATGACTTATCAGTAGAAATACAATAAAACCTTATTGTTAAATAATATTAAATCTAGAGCATATTTATGTACACGTCTATAGAAGCAATAATGTTATTATATTTCTGAAATATCCAAGAGATTAGTGTCTCGTCCAACATTTATAAAATACGTAATAGTCAAGTGAATCCATTTAGTCAACAGTATGATAATGATTGTAAGGCTGTAAAAAATAGACCACGATAGGTTGGTTTCATAATTTTATTAAAAAGTCACATGTCATATTACAACCATATAAAATTATTTTTAGCAACATTTTTAACAGGGTCGCGAGGTTGACGTTAAATGATGAGGGTCAGCAATATCTACACGCGCGGGATAATACCGAATGATAATATGTCTTGAACTCCCAGGTGACTATATGCGTAAAGGTTATCACTTTGTTTACCACCTAAGTAGCTCCACTATATTTTTATATTCCTGGGGGGTACAAACAAAAATAATATGAAATTTCAACTGAAGCAATTATAATATGAAATTATAATACGAAGCAATTTTTTCAATTTAACAAAAGAACATTGAAGATGGCGAAGATTAATTTTCATTTTTTTTTCTCGCAAATGATAATTCTGTCATTTGCAAATGAAAAAATTATTTAAATTGAAATCCTTTTCTATTAACAGTTGACAAGAAAAATTGAATTTTTCAGTTTTGTTCGAATACAGTTTATGCAGTAATTATTATCGTACGTTTGGAATATTATTTTAATCAATGTCTCTGGAATAATGGCTTTGAAAATTTTTTTACAATACCGAGTTTTTGAATACTTTTTGTGCAGATACAAAATGGCATATCACGGGTTACAAATAGTTGCTAATGTATATGAGAATAACAAATCTCGTGTAAACGCGATAACGCACAAAAGCGAAAATATTCTTTGATTGAAGATAATTTGGAGGGCCAATCTATCGCAACTTTATATTCATTCATTTTTTTCTGTTCGCCGTTACTATGTGTTTTTGCCATCCTGATGCAATAACACGCACTTATTTACCCTGTTGCATTATCGAAATTGGGATTAATATAATTAATTAAACGCTATCGGGCAGTAAGTAATTAACAAAGTAGTTTTTGGGAATACGTACAGAACTCGTTAATTGTTCCATTGTTCGTTGTTGCATATTATACATTTATTTATTTAAACCTACGTACTTGTCCTTATTCGACAGATAAAAACATTTTTACCAGTTCCTTTATCCATTAATGTACGGCTTTATCTACTTTGTTTGCCGTATAAGGTTCTTATCGATAGCTACATATTCTTTATCGATTGATTATATAAAAAATAATAAAATACATCTCGAAAAGATTAGAAAATAAATTGTAATCTAACCCAAATCAACGATTAGAATATTTTCGTAAATCGAACAACATTGTCTAATAATCAAATACTTTATACCATCCGAGCGCCCTATACTCCAATCAATAAAACAATTGATCAATCAAAGTCATCCAGATAAATGTCCAGAGACAGATAAGAACCTACACGATCGAAAAATAACACGTTCGATTTTACGATGTCGTTTCGCAGTATAACCAATAAAAAGACTCGTTCTTTGCCAAATGTTTCAGAAAATATACGTACTTCCCGGGAATCGTTAGAGATCTCTATTCGGAAAGGTCAATCTGAACAGCAAAATATTCGAACGGTATCGATTTCCACGAGTTTCCTGTATGCCCGCTATAACAGAGAATTTAAATGTGGGCGCTGCGGATTCACGAGATTTGTTCCACGAATAGAATGATTTTCCATTCTGCCGAGGTGCGAATTGCTCGTTTTATCAAACCCACTTTAAGTACGAGCATAATACATAGCCTCCCGGATTCGCCTCGTACGCTCAGGTCATCCCTTCATTCTCGTCGCTTCCCTATACAAGTTCTCCTCTCTCTTTCTTTTTCCCGTGCACGTGTGTATATGTTTTTCTATGTGTACACTGTCATTCGGAGGAGAGAACGTAACCTTGAAAAGCCCACCCTCGGAGCGCAAGTTCAATCGCAGCGGGCGAAGTAACGCTTTTTTTCCGCGTAACACGGATGAGAGAGATTTCGCGACAACGGCGGCCGATCGCACCGATCATAATCGCTGATAAAATGTCGACGTAGGAGGCCGAGGAAAAAAAAGTACGGTGAGGTGACGTCTAGAAATTGGTGCCAGAGGGTAAGCCGTAGATTTTTAGGTTAGAGGAAAGTTAACGGAAAAGTTTTCGGGAAGCTCGGAACCGACGGAGATGCCTTCAAGGATTTAAACGGTGAACGACGCTGCTGTTGCGAGCGGGAAGTATTTTATTTAAGACAGTATGGTTCAACGGCCGGTCGCGCCTAAGCGCAACGTCAGGATTTTGTTAATCGGCGATCGTGGGGTCGGCAAGACTTCCCTGATTTTATCGTTAGTCAGCGAAGAGTACGCTGAAGATGTACCCTGCAAAGCGGAAGAAATCACGATACCGGCAGACGTTACACCCGAACAAGTGCCAACGCACATTGTTGATTACTCAGGTATATATCAGTAATGTTTGTTTTGCAGTGTTGAATGATACTGCTGATGTATCCGAACGTGGAGTGATAATGAAACGGATACAGTGATTTTTATGTAAATTGTTTGCGTAGCCTATCGATATGTTAAGTTTGACAAGATTCTTCGGTCTCCAAATCGTTAGTTGCTCCAAAATATCAAACTTTATACTTTTAGCTTTGAAACTGCATTGGTTCTGGAAGTAGTCTTTTAGGAATGAGTTATTTAACTTTGCATTTTTGTTTACAGCAGCAGAACAAACCGAGGATCAACTTGCGGATGAAATTCAAAAAGCACACGTAATTTGCGTTGTATATTCTGTAGTAGATGAAGATACGTTAGATAGAACTGCTACTTATTGGTTACCAATGATCAGGAGATGTTCAACCAATAATCGTTGTCCGATCGTTCTTGTGGGAAACAAAATCGACCTCGTTGACTATTCTACTATTGAGGTTTCAGACAAAATTGTAGTTATATGTGTATATATATATCATTTTCTTATACATAACAGCCTAATTTTGTTCATTTGTAGGCTGTATATCCCATAATGAAGGAATTCACAGAAATTGAGAGTTGTATCGAGGTAACAACATATACATTGTTTACTAAAGGAATTCTTATTAAAGTTTGTTATGTGTACGTTATCTTTGATATCTAATTTATATCATATCACATTTCTTTTCAGTGTTCTGCCAAAACCTTACAAAATGTATCAGAAACTTTTTATTATGCACAAAGAGCTGTTTTACATCCTACTACTCCATTGTATAATTACGACACACAAGAGGTAAAATTTGATGTAAATGTCGATAAATCTTATTAAATAACCATCAGATAGCCCACTAAATTTACGCAATGTTTAGCTTACAGAAGAATGTAAAATTGCGCTCCAAAGAATTTTCAAAGTAAGTATGTGTATTTAGAATTCGAATATTTTACATGTTAAATATTTTTACACTATTTTTTTGTTACACAATTGTAGATATGTGATTTGGATAATGATGGTCTTCTAAATGATATGGAGCTGAATGCATTTCAACAGTGGTGCTTTAACACTCCATTGCAACCACAAGTCCTGGAAGATGTAAAGGCTGTATTATCAAAAAATATTCAAGATGGCATTTGCAATGGATGTGTTACAATGAAAGGTACTCTCTTTGCAAAAATATTTTCCTTTGTTGATATTTAAACATTCTTCCTGTATGCAGGTTTTATGTACCTCCAATGTTTGTTCATACAACGAGGAAGGAATGAAACTACTTGGGCTGTGCTGAGGAAATTTGGTTATAATAATGATTTAAAAATGTCCAAAGAATATATACATCCACCGTTAGTAATGAATTAATTGAAGCAATTTATGAAACACCTTTAATTTATATTATATTCATTTTTTATATATTGGACAGATTAAAGGTTCCTGTTGGATGCACAACTGAATTATCCCACAAGGGTCAAGAATTTTTAACGTTATTATTTATGCAACATGATAGAGATCAGGATGGTGCTCTTTCACCATCAGAATTGGAATCGTTATTTTCAAGGTGTTTAAATCCGCCATGGGGTGACGAGTACAAATATACTGTTCCAACCAATGAGAAGGTTCACCTTTAATTAATCAGTTATTTACTTATTATTTTTGTTAGCATTCTTACAATTAATTCGCAATCGTAATTCCCCCAACAGGGTTGGATCACGTTTCAAGGTTACGTATGTCAATGGGCGCTGTTAACTCTTACTAATGTGCGTAAAGCATTAGAATATATGGCATATCTAGGTTACAACATGTATAATAATGAATGTCAGACAAACGCGGTGTTAGTCACTCGTGAAAAGAAATTAGATTTGGCAAAGAAACAATCAAGTAGGAATGTGTATAGCTGTCACGTCATTGGTCCAAAGAGCAGTGGAAAAACAACATTATGCAGAACATTTATTGATCCTAAACTCGAGGTATATACGAATGCATATATGTATACATAATATGCTAGATGAATGTACCGAAGCATTAATGTGATTACAGAAATTAACTGATGAAACGGTACCATCAAATGCACACGTAACGGTAAACACGGTACATGTATACGGTCAAGAGAAGACAATAATATTACGGGACATAAATATATTGAACGTTCAGGATGCTTTAACTCCTGCACAAATTCAGTGCGATGTGGCAGCTCTTGTTTACGATGCCAGTGATCCTAAATCATTTGAATATATCGCACGAGTTTATATTGTAAGCGTTTTTAAGCGACTCTTACTGCGCGTGCAAGAATTTTTGCAATTCAGCTCTGTATACGAATTAACATTTTTTATTTCAGAAATATTTTGCAGAGAGTAAGATACCTGTTCTCATAGTAGCAAATAAAAGCGATCTTTCTGAAGTGAAACAAGAGTACTTACTCCAACCAGTAAGTTTTTGCAATAAGTACAAACTGATGCCACCACAACCATATAGCATCTCTCGTACCGTACGACGTGAGATCTTCGTTAAGCTAGCAACAATGGCAGCTTTTCCGTAAGTTTCAATTTACTAATACATTTATTATCAGTAGATATAATTTGTATAAATATAAAAGTGCTCCGATACCATTATTTTATAAAGCAATCGTTTATTTGAAAAGAAAAATTCGAGAAAAATAATTTCCCAAGTAATTTATAAATTACGTTTGCATTGTGTAGTATTTAAAGAATAATATTACTCCCAAAAAATTGAATGTCTATTAGATACTAACAGAGATTTCATGTTTAGCCGATTTCAAGGAGCATGGGTATTATTTTACAGAGACAGGTTGGTCTGAATTTTGACACGT